ATAAGTGAGGTTGAATACATGTATTCCGAAAACAATGGGAGAAATGGGGGCCTGAGCGTGGCTCGAAGACCAGCCCACGTGCTCTGGGCCTAGACAAGTTCTGAAGTCCGCCAAACGTCAGATAGTCACATAAACAACGCATTACACTGAGCACATCCCGAAGGCCAGCTCGCGCACACATGACTAAGACAAACACCAGAGCGGTGACTGTCAGAGAATAATCTGCTCAGCAACAACTGTGTTCACCGAGTGACGTCAAGACGTCAGTCTAAAAATTGGGGTTTGAGATGGAAAACGTGATCCAGCACACTCCCTTCTGGAACTCCAGTCGCCGTAGTGCCACCTCCGACATTTATGCACAACTGTGGAAAGGAGAGCTGCACACACTTCAGTTTTCAAATGATTGCCTACGGGTAGAACACGGGAAGAGCACAACACAGACGTTGTTGTCAAGCCTTCCTCTGTGGTGAAGTGTTCCGAGAACCGTCCACCAACCCAATACATATGTGCACCTCCTGCACACACTGCTGAAGTGTCATAAGCAGCGAAAACCAGTGTTGAAGTAGTAATGAAGTCGGATTGGTCTTGTGCTGCCACCAGAGCTGCGTCACGACACTTCTTACCAGGCGGAAGAAGACACCGAGAAGGGCAGCATGCAGGAATAAAAGGAGGAGAAGAAGAAGAAGAAGAGGGACACGACTGGGCATTGACTTGGTCGCCAGACCACTCCACACTCACAAGCGAAAGACAAACACCAATATTAGTAACCGCCAAACACTCAGATGATCGCGTAGACAAATAATTGTTTTGTCGTCTATACCTCCGCTTAACGCCTCGGCTGCATGCCGTGGCCACCAAGTTGAAGCGATTTGCCCCACTAAGCAGTATTCTCACAACCCTATTACACGGACTCTCTCAATGCACACTACCAACTTGCCTGATCCCGAAAGGCAAGTGACCATCCCAATGACAGCCAACAATGTGGCACATGTCGCCTTTCCCTCTCCACGCCACCTGCACAACGAAATCCTCCCTCGACCATTCGACTGCAACCGCAATGCCATCCTCAGTTTCAGTTGTCTAGGCACAAGGCTAAGCAATTCCCTCTACGTGGTCATCACTGCTTCAAAGGCAGAATTTCGTCCACGAACACAGCACCGTGTGGCAGCCAATGCAATGCGCAACACCAAACCAATCCAAATGGTTGCTCACATTGTCACCCTCGCTGTTGACGGCTGTCCAGCTCTACTCAAAGGGAGGACAAATGCTGAATGCTGATGCACTTCCTTCACCCCTTCCCACATCGCAAAGTCGACGACTGTTATCAGTGCAGTGTGTCGCACAAAATGCAAATCCTCAATCAGCACAAATCTTTGCACCAATGCAGGTGGATGCTGAGGGAAGAAGGGGGCAATGCGTGTCACTCAAGTGACCAGCGACAGGAAGAGCGCGGTCACATCAACAAGCGTCAGTGAAACCACCTATCCAATAAACAGTCACAACATCTCTGTCCCTTCCATCAACGCCCTCTTCCAAATCGTATTTGTTGTCAGAAGTTAATTGTGCTGCCTCCACAATGCAACACCTGCTCACCTCATCGCCTCAATTGCATTTGTCTTTGCTAACCTTCCAAGTGGGAAAATGGAGGGACTGTGAAGTGTTGATGGAGGCTGCGGCTGTCCCAAAACACGTTTCCAATGTTGAAGTGAGGTGGACTGAGGTGGCCGATGACTACTTGACAGTCGTGGTGGAGATGGCACAGAGCGTATAGTGTAGGCGGACACAAGACTTCCACATGAGACGACGCACAGGAGTGGAGACTTAACAGGACTGATCAAAAGACATCGGTCACACTGAAGTGCATGCTCGTTGGCGTCGAGAGGTGGTCTCGTTGCTGAGTGTTGACAACCTCGGTTTTCGTGTGCAAGCGCTTGATGCCGCACTCATCGTACCATTGCCATGTGGAGTGGCTCCAAAGATGTGGTGGGTGGATCAACCCAACAGCTTCATGATTTGCCTTCTATGCCCTTACCTTCAACCAGGTCCATGTCGATAGCAGTGGTAAGCGGACGCAATCTCAATGACCACTCATTCTAACTTCCACCACTGTGTGCTAAACCGCGACGGAAGAAAAGAAGTGTGTGTGTGTGTGTGGGAAAGAAATAGCAGAGTCGACGGCAAACTCAAAGCAGAAGAAGAGCTCCAACAACTTCCACCTTCGCATTACTCCTCACAATTCCCTCATCAATTATGAACACTTTCCACGAGGAATGCGAGATCAGCCTTGCAAACAATTTTCCTCAACCATCTGCATGAGGGTGCGACACCTCGCAACGCCTCGTCTGCGCTTCCATTAGTCAAATGGAGGCCAAGCGGGTGCGATCAAGCAATCGACAAATGCAAAAATCTTGCCAATGTGAAGAGATTTACCAGCCTCCTCCTCCTCCCTTAGACAGTTGCCTTCCACCCTCCTCCCTCACCACTTACCTCCATTTCTGTCCACGACCATCACATTCCCCTCCCCCTACACACCCACACCCTCACCCCACATGCCACACCTGACGAAGGTGACGATACCAATGTGTCATCCAACTTTGCAGCCGAACCTTTTCTCACTTCCCTCTTCACTGTTTTCTCCTCCGCAGATGACATGACGATCCAATGGGAAGGAATGAGCAGTGCATTCGTTGCTACTACTTCCAATTCGGCTTTCGGAAAAGGGGACTTCGCTTGCACCCGAGTCGCCTCTTCCCAGTCGTATATTGTGTTTCCTCAGACCTTCAAGGCAGACCACAGACCATGATGCAGGT